GGAGTGGCTGAATGGTTCCTGTTACAACTGAACTAAACCCATCGTGCTACCAGCGGTAGCGTCACAGTATTCTGTTGCAGCAGGAAACAGAACTTTGTCTATTAAGAAATGGATGCCGTTGCACGAATGTCAGCTATTTGGAATATACCCATCATTGGTTACATGGCAGCTTCAAACTCGCTATCGGACAAGAAGGCGTATCCAACGCTGGCTCGGGTTTCGGTGAGACTACTGAATTTGTTTCAAATGATAGCAGGAACCTCAACGTTTCCTTCTTCTTTTTATTCTTTAGTGTCTGTCCCGCATGTAGGCAGGGTCTGCTTTTCTGATATGTTGACGCAACTTCTCTCGGTTAAACGCCTGATCGGGGTGGATGTTAACCGTTTTCAGGTCTTCGTGCATAACAAACAAATGAAAATAAGGTTTAATCTAGCATAAAATATAGTAAAGACCAGGTTCAAAAGCGAGTCAATGAAAGTGAGCATTAGTCCACAAATTGACGCTATTTGACATTCACGATGGTATGTAGTCGGAGTCAAAGTGAAATAGTATTTCAGGAAGACATGCAGTCAATTTCATTCAGCTATTAGGACAGCTGGATGCTCAGAGTTGCCCAGAAAATTGCTCTTGTCGGAGCAGGCTAACTAACCATTTCTCCACTTTATTCAGCGAAGAATTGTGTGAATGACCCAGTGAAGAGCAAACCATTTGACACTGTGATCCATGATGATTCCAATCAAATCTTTTAATCATCTCTAACCACAAAACGCTCATGTGTCCGGGTTCTCATTTACATCTTAGGAAATGTTAATTGTGTCCCCTACGTATTTTGTTGTTGCAGATAAGAACAACGAGCTCTTTGGCAGAAGCCACAACTGCACTTTTGCGTCACTATGGATGGAACAAGGTAGCACTAGATTTGCTTTGAGTGACGGATCATATAAACCACATTCTTCGTTTATGGGCTGTCGTTACAGGTAGCAATAGTAACCAACCTTGGTGGCTTGGCATATGATCGCACAGTTGCATTCGAGGAAGTTTTTCATGCGAGGCAGATCAGAGTAGTCAAAAAGGTACATTCCTTCCTTGATGACGGTAAAGAAATGGGTCGAAGAAAATTGAAGGGAATACATTTCCAGCCTGCACATTTAGATGAGAGAGTTGGTTCGGCGATCTAAGTCTTTCAACCAAATGGATCCAAGTGGGTATAAAAAGTGTCCAAAGTAGAAATTTAAGCGCAACTGCATAACAACATACACGAACTCCTGTTTACTCAGGTCCAACAACTATCATGTATCATGAGTGAGTGAAAATGCTGAGCTTGTGTACGTCATTCTAGAGATATGCAGGACACAAACAACCAGTGACCCTTCCAATTAGAAAAATACTCCTAAATAACTGGGGTAACTTTGAGTACATATTGATAGTAGTGTTATTTTTTCAAACTCAATTGGTTTTTTAAACACTTACGCACACCATCAATATAGTTAAAGAAGCAAACGATGCCGAGCTTTGCGCACAGACGATAAAAGCGATCTAACTTTGGAAAAAAAAATGAAGAAGCACCTGAGAAATAGTAGAACAGACAGCTAGTGATCACCGCCGTACCTGACACCTATGAAAGTATGGTTACAGTTACAGTTAGTTACACATAGGTTCTTGCAATTGTATCGATATGGTATAATAAACAAAAAACTTTTCCGACTCACAAGCTCTACCCGTTATCATTGAAAATGTTTCGATGTGATTAAAAAAGATTAAAATATATGACATTGTGATGCAAGCAAAGAGCCATTTGGTGCAACGTAGTTGGGGTCCATGGCCGAGTCAGGCTTCGAAATTTGGCTTTTGAAGTTGTGATTGATGACCAAGGGACTGTTTATTGGTAAGGCTTCATTAGAAGAAAAATGGGTACGCGAAAAGAATCCATAGAGCGGTCACTGGTCGTATAGATGGTTCTTCTAAAATACACTAGTGTGCAGAACCAAGAGACGACAGCAACCTTTGATTCCTGTATCTGTGCCATATCTATGGCTCGATTAAAATCATACCACACCAAGAGAAGGTCATTATGACGTTACGCAGAAAGCAACTAACAGAAATTTAGAATAATACGAAATGGTGCTACCTTTCGAATCAGAGATACCGATAACACAATTCTTCCTGATTCACATGGTACCTCAAAAGAAGCGACGCGGTTTTTAGTAGGGTATGTGATCTTTACGGACAGCGACATATGTTCTGCAATTCGATCCCATACTTTCACGGGCTTGGTAACGATTACCTGTGCTAGAGTGTACCATTACTGAATTAATCAGAACAATCAGCACATTTGGTAGTTGATGGGTGGTCATTGGTACATTTGGGCGCAATGTAGTGCGTACCCCATTGCACTTCATACGTGCTCGCTGGGGTTTAGATCGGGGAATGGGCGAGCTACCCCATTCGTCGGATATCCTCTCGTTCCGAAACTCCTCCACCTGTGTTTTGGATGCAATGGCGCATTGGCATCAACAGAAATGAATTCGATGCCGAATGCATCGAATTTATTTTTATTGATGGTTATGCGCGGTGGTACTGAAAAGGTGCACACGAGAAATTAGTATTTCGCCAGAGTAGCGTTGGCTGGTAAGGGCTCTAAGCTCAAAAATCTGAAGTCTCATGCCCACGCAGCATGACCCTTTGCCAGACTATTATAGC